CATCTCCCATTTCCACATTGGTATTTCCATAAGCTGAGTTAACCCACCGGGCCGCTGGTGCTCGGCTTTTACTCGTTGACAATTCGGACATTTAGATACAAAGTCCGCCACACCCCTCTTCATACCGTTCCACCAATAAATTTCCTTGAGATCACGGTATATTTTCGTAGAACCTGGGTGCACAGAATACCTGGAATTATGAGCCTCCGCCATTACCCTCCCCCGAAGATTATCCACATCTGGAACACATAGCCTACCTTGACATCGTAATACACCATCGTAACCACCGAGTGAAAATGTCGAAGTCTTGTTACTCAAAACTGCCTCCTTCATCTGTGCTAATGCTGGATCAATGAGCTGGTTTTCCTTGACTTCCGCTACCAGTGACGATTCTGCTCCATTATGCACCATAACCTTCCCCTCGTCTGAGGTCGAAATACGAACCCCCATACTGGCCAATTGATAAACCTCCCGAGTCAAAGGCCTCTGATCCGCTCCCAAATGAGCCAAACTACCCATGGACTTCCGACTAAGAGCGTCGGCCACCACATTTGCCTTCCTTGGGTGGTATAAAATATCCATATCATAATCCTTGATAAATTCTAACCACCACCGCTGCCTTAAATTCAACTCCTTCTGCTTGAACAAACATTGGAGACTCTTGTGGTCTGAGAACACATCCACATGGACCCCATAAAGATAATGCCGCCATATTTTCAAGGCAAATAAAATTGCCGCAATTTCCAAATCATGCGTCGGATAATTCTTCTCGTTATTCTTGAGTTGCCTTGAAGCATACGCTATAACCTTCCCATGTTGCATCAACACACACCCCAAACCGACCTTGGAGGCATCACAATAAACCACAAATCCTTCCGTGCCTTCCGGCAAGGTCAATATCGTCGTCGAGGTCAATCTCGACTTCAATTCCCGAAAACTTTTCTCACAAACATTGGACCATTTGAACTTAACTGGTTTCTGCGTCAACTTAGTCAAAGGGGAGGCGAGGGTAGAGAACCCCTCCACAAACCTTCGATAATACCCTGCTAAACCCAAGAAGCTACGGATCTCCATCGGGGTCGTGGGTCTAGGCCAATCTTTTACTACTACAATCTTCTGGGGATCCGCCTGAATCCCTTCACTGGAATCAACATGGCCCAGAAAGGTAACGGACTCCAACCAAAATTCACATTTTGAAAATTTAGCATACAACTGGTGCTGATAAAGGGTCTGCATAACTGCCCTGAGGTGATCGGCATGATCCTCCCGGCTCCGCGAATAAACAAGGATGTCATCAATGAAAACAATCACAAATGAGTCTATAAATGGCTTGAAAACCCGATTCATAAGATCCATGAAAGCTGTCGGGGCATTGGTTAGCCCAAAAGACATGACCAAGAATTCAAAGTGACCACAACGAGTTCTGAAAGCGATCTTAGGAATATCCTGTTCTCTGATCTTCAATTGGTGATACCCGGACCGTAGATCAATTTTGGAAAAGAACCTCGCACTTTGCAATTGGTCGAACAAATCATCTATCTGAGGCAAAGGATATTTATTCTTGATGGTGACCTTGTTAAGATGCCGATAATCAATACACATCCGGAGCGACCCATCCTTCTTTCTGACAAAAAGAACCGGGGCACCCCACGATGACACACTTGGTCGTATGAACCCCTTTTGTAATAAATCCTTCAGCTGTTCCTTTAACTCCCTAAACTCCGTTGGCGCCATTCTGTATGGTGGAATAGATATCGATCGCGTATCTGGCAATACATCAATCCCGAAATCAATCTCCCTATCTGGCGGGATCCCTGGAAGCTTGTCCGGAAACACTTCAAGAAACTCATTCACGACTGGCACAGACTTAGGGACAGACACTTCTGAAGTGGTGTCCGTCACCCGGACCAGATGGTAGATACACCCCTTCCTAATCATCTTCGAAGCCTTAAGGTAGGAAATAAACCTACCTTTCGGCACCACACCATTTCCCTTCCATTCAATAACCGTCTCATTAGGGAACTCAAGCCTAATGAATCTCGTTCGGCATTCAAGTTTAGAAAAGCACGAATAAAGCTAGTCCATTCCCATAATCACATCAAAATCCACCATTTCAAGCTCAATAAGATCGGCCGTGGTAGCACGACCGCATATTATGACAACGCAATTCCTATAAACTCGTGTGGATGTAATTGAATCACCAACCGGAGTCGATACAGAGAACGGCTCATGAAGTTGTTCAGGTTCTACCCCAAAACTCACAGCAATGAATAGGGTGACATAAGACAAAGAGGACCCCGGATTAATAAGAGCATAACAATCAATGGCCTGAATAGACAAGATACCTGTAGCAACATCTGGGGAGGCCTTTGCACTCTGGCGACCACTCAAGGCGTAAAACCGGCTGGATACACCTCTACCACGAGCTCCACCCCTAACTACCCCGCGCCCTGCTGGGGCTGGAGGACGCACGAATGATGTGGAAGCTAAAGAACCGGATGACTGAGCAAATCCCCCACCCATGCCCTGGCTGGGCGCACGGAAGTCCCGCTGGATATGACCTCTCACCCCGCATCTATAAAATACCGGAATATCCAAATAACAAGTCTTGGAATGGAACCTCCCACACTTGGGGCATGAAGCCCTCCCCTGCTGCTGTGATCTCCCTCCTGGATGACCGGAATGATGGGGTCTCCTATTGTCTGAACCTGATCTCAAGTGACTGCCCTGCTGATAACTGTGCATAGATAGCGGTGCGCTTGCTGAGGACTAGGCATATGACTGGTACGGCCCTGATGGCCCTCTCTCCGGAACTGGTCTCCCTAAGTGACCCGCTGATCGGGCTCTGCTGCTACTCTCCCTTTCTGCCCGTATTTTCAACTTCCTAGCCTCTGTGGCCTGAGTGAACCCCACAATCTACCCATAATTCATATCTGAGTGTAAGGCCGCTGTAGCAGCCTCATTCACCACCAAAGGACTAAGACCCTGAATGAATCGCCGAACTCGAGCATCCATGGTCGACACTAACTGAGGAGCACACTTGGACAACCTCACAAACTCCATGTGGTACTCCCAAACACTCATACTGCCCTGCTTGAGGACCTCAAACTCTGTGGCATGGGCCGCCATTGTCTCGGCAGGCAAGAAGTGGTCCATGAATGCATCTACAAACTCATCCCATCTAGCCGGAGGTCTTCCCTTCCCACGGGAATCCTCCCACATCTCGAACCACGAATACGCTGATCCTCTCAACCTGTATGAAGCTAACTCAACCCCTTCCGTCGCTGTAGCCTTCATCACTCGAAGGGTCTTATACATTTCATCAAGGAAATCCTGTGGATCGGCCTCTGGGTCTGTGCCCGTGAACTCTGGAGGGGCCAACCGTAGAAACTGGTTGACTTTAGAGCTGGCGGAATCTCCCTGTCCGCTGGGGGGCGTAGGGGCATCATGAGATTTCTGGGCCTGAGCGGACACTAACTAGATCACCATATGGATGGCTCCTCTAAGGTCCCCATCAGAAACCCCGGGACCGGAAGCTGGAATTGCATCAAGATCAGGAATGTCAACGGGAGGGATGGTAGCACCCTCTGCCGCAGCTGGAACAGGAATACTTGGATCTGGAATAGATGGGCCAGGCAGATTCGAGACCGGGGAGTCACTCTCACCCACGGCATCAGGTACATGATTCACAGCCACACTTGGGGTGGCTTGGCCCTGAGGCCGAGTCTAGCTCTCTTCTTAGGTGGCATTACTGAAAATTTGGAACAGAGCACGAGTTAGATGTAAATACTTCAACTTTTCACTTCACTGCACGATATAGAGTAACAAAGAAAAAGGTAATTTCTTAAATGCCCATGTAGCCTCCAACTTATAGATGTGGTCGACAATACACCGATAAGGAGGACTCTACTATACACGGCTCCGAGACATCCTAGGACACTTTAAAACCTTAGGCTCTGATACCAAGTTTGTCACGCCCCAAAAACCGAGGGGCGCGACCGGCACTCGATCGGGTAGCCCCCAGCCAAGCGGACCTGGGTGCCTTTCCTATTCCACGTGATACCCTGCGTTTCCATTACCCATTAACCAAGTAAAATAGTCATTTATAAATTTAAACACATTCTTACGAGATTTACATAACATACATAGTTACATAGCGTGGTTTACAAGTTATACTGCCCAAAATACATAAGTACATAACCCAAATTTCCTGTCTACGGAGCCTCTAAATACAACTGAAGAATAATATGGAAATGCCGGCAACAAGGCTCCGGCTATACCTTACACAAATACCAAAATAAGACTCCGGGAAGAAAAGCAGCATGATCCACGCAGGGCCCCGAGAGGAAAGGGGCTCACCAATTCAACAGACGGTAGGTGAAGGAGTGCTACTGTCGGTGGGCTGGAGTACCTGTTATGGAACCACCTACAATCATAACACGAATGTAGCGCCCCCGGGAAAAGGGACGTCAGTACATTTCAATTGTACTGGTATGCATAAACAAACTTTACCCTAAGTAAAATCAAGAAATACACAGATAACAAACAGTAATAGAACAACAATCAAATGCACATGAAAGGAACAACCAAAGCCAAACAACTCAACAATCTCTCATTTTCCCCTTTCAACATTATTTCATCACATCAATGGTTTCACAAGTTTCACATATTTTTATTTCAATAGTGATTTCGATCACTTTTACACCCTTATTACCTCGGCCACCCTTATTACCTCGGTCACCCTTATCACCACAACCCATACCTTATTACTTCGTGTTGCGGCGCGCAACCCGATCCCACCGGACAATCATATTTCACACAACAACAACAATTCACAAGGAATGTTCATAAACATCAATACTAATTCAAACATATACAATAACCCGTACACAATTCAAGTTACAACAATAATTGCCCACAACAAGTCACGCATGATTTTGCCACAATTGTTTCAATTGTATCAATTACGATTTCTTTCCATCGTTTGTTCCAAAGCTCTTACCACGTAACACATTCATACCCACACACACTTGTGTTATTGCCATTTTACTCACACCACTATAACGGAAAACTTAACCAACAATGTTCAAGGCACATTAATCACAAGAATTTCACAAATAGTCCACATAAGTAACACATACCAATTACTCGCACACCAACATGGTGACTTTACAAAGGTTAAAGTTAGCCATACATACCAGGAGTCGAATTCCCTTTTTAACTTCTACTTTCAATTCACCAACAGCCTAGTACCGTCAATCTAGTTCACAAGTTAGCACATATAACTTAGAACTGAAGTTCACAAACTCAGCCCAAACTTACTTAGGTTTCCAACCCCTCTTTTGCAAATCTTTAGTTCTACCCAATTCCTCTTACTAGATTCTAGGTTTTAAAGGACATGCATGTGTATCTCAACTTCCATTTTCAAGAATTAACGCATGAGAATCCCCCCTTTTTGTTTCCATCTGAAAACAATGAAAGAGGGTTGGGGATTTTACCTTCAAGAACGGAGATGAAGACAATTACTTGAAATTTCCCGTCCTGGATGACTTTGAAAAATCGAATTGATGGAGATAAGACTTTCTCTCTCAAGAATTCTCTCTTCCCTCTCTCTAGTTTTGTTCAGAAAATAGGTTAAAATAAGGGGTTGGGGTGTTTTATTAAAGAAGGGGTCGGATTTAAAATTTAGAAAATTGGAGCCCCGAGTCAGGTCTGTGATAGTGGTCCGCAGAATGGACCGCAAAAGTGATCCTAACATCTGAACACACTGCCTAGGTATGCGGCAGAAATACGGTCTGCATACCCGTTCTGCGGTCGCATAATGCACCGCACAACTGCCCCTCTAAAAATCCCAAGGAAAATATGTAACGACTATGCGGTCCGCATATCGGTTATGCGATCGCATATTTAACCTCAAATTCGACAAACACTGACTTACTTTGCGGCGATTAGGCGGTCCGCATACCTGATATGCGACCGCATTCTCGATCGCAGAATCGCATTTTCTAGAAAACAATATTTCTTGACTTTTTATAGCATAGATCAGTACAAAAAGGGTCCGAACTACTAGGTTTTGAGTACAAGTTTTCACATGGCCTTACACGCTCATCGCAAGTCGAATGGGTCGCCAACCTCCGGACCTAACTGGGAAAATTGGGAACTTCGCCCGGCTCCCACGAAGTTGCTATAGAAAAGGAGGAAACACAATTACTAAACTGGTTTTTGCTACAAGCAAATTTTAGAAAGCACGAGACACTCCACTCATGCGCATAATTCCATTCCTCGGGAAATAGCATGAGTTCCATGGGGATAATGTCAGTCGTCTGGACCTGGATGAATCAACTGACCCACTCTCAATCCCCATCTTCCTCATCAACAACAACAAAGGGCGTGGACAAACGGTACCACAAAGTTAGCAAGCCTCGATGATAAAAGGGTCGGTACAGCCTGGCGAGGTGACTAAGCATGAATTCAAGCCCAACCTTCTCTGCAAAGAATCTCATCTTCAGCGCTACTCGCCAAAATGACGGATGTATCTGTGCCAAAGTAACCTGATACTTCAGGCAGAAATCAAGCACGACCCTATCAAGGGAGACTAATGCGAAAAGGTATAAGTATACGTTCAGGAATACATCAGCGGGGTCCGTAATACCCTCATTCGGGTAAAGCGCCTGCAATGTTACCCCCTCGCCCCATCCACAGTCTCTTCTCACTATCTCCAGATGTTTCTCTTTTATCAAATACATAGTTTTCAAAGTAAACTCCAGTGGATCTTGAGCACTAGCAGTGGAACTCTCCCCTCCCTGCCGGGCAGGCCCTGAAGTAGCAGTCATGACTATGGTAGAATTGGCAAACTGAAACAGGGACCTATACCAACACTTTTGTGCTTAAGGTAACGAAGGACTCGATGCCAAGGCGGAAGGATAGCTATTTAAAAT